GCATGGTTCTAAGCCAATTGTTGAATGCCATGTCACTTAGTAGTTTTGGTAAGTTGTTTTCGGCTTGTTTAACGTTTTTTTTTTTTAGTAATGGATTTTGTAATTGTAATTTTTAAAAAGTATATCGTTAAAATTATGAATTTTTTTTAATTTAAGTATAAAATTATTTTATTTGAAGAATACATAATTAAAAATGAATTTTTAAATAATATAGTTCCACTGGAGACTTATTATAATATTTTTCATGGTTATATGCATGCTTTTCTCTATAGTTATTAAAACTTATTAATTTTTTTTTCTTTTAAAAAAATAAATTAAGAAAGCAATGTGGATCCTTTGTGCAAAACTAAAGCCAGAGCAGCGGCGGAATCATGATATATATATATATATATTTTTTTTTTTTTTTGGTGAGCAAAAATAATTGTAAATAATATAACTATAATAGCTCCTGGCATGTTTTCATATTTTGAAAACGTCGTATGATTATATCATTATCGATTTCATTAAATATAGTTTTCTCAATAAATAAAATACTGCTTTGTTCTGTTACTAAATCATTTCAAGAAAATGCTAACTAAAACCTTTCAAGAAGTACTTGGAAATTGCACACAGACCAGAGAAGAAAATTAAATTTCCAATTCCCTTAATCACAGCTCTTTGAGCCCCTAAACTTCTCGTGAACAAATAGTTAGAATTAAATGCACGCAGATTAAAAATGCGATGAGGAAATTTCAAAACCTAAAATCATTTCAATGCATTTTTGAATTGACTGAAGACATGTAACTTTAGACAAGAGATTTAGTTTTAATTGATCCAACAAGTCTTGTATAATAAAAACCATGTCCTACTTTGAGATAGTCCAGAGGTAGCAACCTTCAACTTGTTAGGATTGGTAAGGGTGTATTTGTCGCTTCACAAGTCGTTAGCAGTTGAGGCTAAAATCGAGTTATCTTAATAAACATATTCATAAAATCTTAATTTTCCCCATGGTCCTTATATTTATTCAAGGAAGAAGACACACAAACACAAACACTATAAGCATACAATATTTTACTACGAGAATTGAAGCACGAAACCCAAATTCCTAACCATGAAATAACAATGGAAACAATAAGAGTGTGTTCTCTTTGCCAATTTCCGATCGTTTTCTATTTTCGATTTTTCAAAATTGTGAAAACGCGTTCTCTTTCCCATTTTCGAAAAAAAAAATTGTGAAGAAAACAAAAAATGGCAAAATCCTCTTTTTGGCCGTTTTCTTCAGAAATCCCATAAAACGTTCAAAACACGGAAACAAGAGAGAGAGACAAAAAATTGAAGCGTGTCTGCCCATCTCTCTTCATTTTTCCTTCTCCATTCCTTTCGGCATCTCTTCGTTCTCTCTTGTCGACGCTGGCATCTCCATCTTTTGAGCGTCGCGACCTGTGGTTTGGGCCCATCTCCATCTTCTCTCTCTTCGACTGGCGTTTTGGGGGGTTTTTTTGCTTCTTCAACTGCTGTGAACGCAGTGTCTCTACTTTTGGTGGTGGCGATTTTGGATTTAATTGATGGTGTTGATGGTGGTACCGCGCGGGCGACGATCGTGATTTTGGCAATGGTGTTGATGGTTTTGGTACCGGCGGTGGATTATGGTTTCGGTTGTTTTACTTTTTTCAATCTGCTGATTTGGGGTTTTTTCGATTCGTTCATAGTGACCCACTTCTCTTTTCGATCTGTTGGTTTGGGGGTTTTTGATTTTTTTGATCTGGTGCTGTGTGGTAACAATGAGTAGTGCTGGTGCTGGTGCGGTGTGGTGACTGGTGGTGGCGATTCCAATTGACAATGGATTGGTTGTGTTGACTGGTTGTGTTGATTGTGTTGGCAGTGGTGATTGTGTTAGCGGTGGTGACTGGTTGTGGTTGTTACGATGGCAATGGTGTTGTGGTGGTGTTTTGATTGGCAATGACGATTTTCAAAATTTACAAGTAAACACGTTTTCCATTTTGATGTTTTAAAAAACATTTTTTCAGAATGACAAAAAGAATACGTTTTCAACAATTTCAAAATGAACATTCAAAATACAAAACTCAAAATAAATTCAAAATTCAAACACGAAGAGAACAGTCCCTAAGATGTTATGGTGTGTTTGATAGGGTGGAAATGGAATTGAAAGATGGAATTGGAATTGAATTTTCCAACTTTAGGTGTTTAATACAATTTTTTTTCCATGAAATTCGAATTCTAGGTTGTCTTGAATTCTACTGTAGCACTTTTTTTTTTTGTTGGCAATGGAAACAAATTTTAAGAATTATTGTAAAAAAATATTTCCCTTTAAATGACAAATTTCATGTAAAACAGAGTCAAACGAACACCAAAAGATATATGATTTTCTTGAATTTTATTTTTTATTTTTTTTTTGTTGGCAATGGAAACAAATTTAATTCCCAATACCAGTAAAATCTATCCCTTTAATTGACAATTTTCATGTAAAATAAAACCATACGAACACCAAAAAATACTTTTATTTCAATATTTTCCACGTGGAAAATTATACCAATCAAGCATAATAATTTACAATTTTCAGGAAAATAATTTTAGGTAATTCAATTCCCTGAAATTCATTTTCTAAATAATTCGATTCTATATTTGCAATCAGACAGACCCTTAATATAATACAATAAAAAGGAAGAATCTATTGATTTTTATTTTTTTAATTTAAAAAAAATATATAAATTCAAATTTTTTGGGTGGACCACTGACCACTCTAGCCCAAATGTAGCCCCGCCCCCTGGCCACGAGTACATCCCTCCCTAAATTATACATTTAATTAGTATCAACTGATTATACAGTATGGCACTCGTCGTAGGGTTTTTGTAGGAATTTCTAACTATCTAAATATTTTTGTCATATGTAATAGATAAAGTTGACAAGAACTTCTAATCCACCTAAATAATCTATTTTTTTTAGCACGATTTTTGAAATATCTAAGCATTCTCATGAAAATTAGACAAAGTTGAGAATAATTTCAAATCGATTTAGACATTATCTCCAATCTCTTCTCCTTTCGTATAAACTTATGTTCAACCTCCATGCTTATCGTAGACATTCTTTCTCTCTCTCTTTTTTTTTTTTTACACGAACTTCAGAAGCATGTAGTGATTTTTACTAAGCAAGACAAAGTTGAAAAAGGTTCTAGTTCATTTGAACACTCCATTCTTCTACAACTTTATCTAATTCGATCATATTTGATAAATTTTTTACAGACAAAAATTTTTATTTGACCAAAAATAATAGTGCAGTTAAAAAAAATTTCAAATAAATAAGTGATTTGAATTAATCTAACGAAGAAATGTGAGCGATGAAAACTAGAAAGCTAGATGAGAGCATTATAGAGTTCGTAAATAAACAATTGACTACTCATAAATGGTATCATAACTTAAATAAGAATTTTCCAAACTTCTGATAAAGTTTAACATTGCTTATAAACTGGTCAAGTCTATATTAATCCACAAACTCCTTAAATTCATTATTTTTATCTACTTTTTAATCACACATTCTAGTCGAAAGTAATTCTAAAGACAAGGGTGCAATCATGCAGAATTGGCCTGAGGAAAAGAGGTTGCATACATGAGTCAGTTAAACGAATAATCACCAAAGTTTATTCTTAGTTACTACTTGCTTATTAAAAAATAAAAGATCATTAATTGCTTACTCACTTTACATAATGTTAATCATCTATCATCCATCTCAATTTCATTTGTCCACGTAAAAAAAATATCCACGCAGTGGATAGAAATATTACGTGACAATAAATAGAGTTTGCTCACCTTTACATGATATTACTCATCCATCATCCAGATCAATTCTATTTTTATACATTTATATATTATTTTCACAATTTTTGGATTGATTTTTGCAGATTACTTTTGCTCACTCAATTTTAGTATTATTATTTAATCTTTGGTCTTTTATATGATTTTTATTCTACAAAATCCATATATAACTGTTTTCTTCGCGGGGAGATCTTTTACAATGACCGATTAGATTATAGTCTTTAACAATGAATAAATTTTTTATCCATCGACTTTTCTATTGTGTTATTGGAAGAACGAAATATATTTGGAGTGAAAGTTATAATTGAGACATGAGATATTCATTACTTAAGCGGTAACAAAAAAAATGTATAATAAAACATTAACGCGGACGAATTTGTAAAAAAGTATCAAACCAATTCATAGAAGAAACAATTATCGAGAATGAAATAAATAAAGAAACAAAACAATTTGAGTAAAATATATAAAAAAAATAAGGAAAATAAAAATCATATAAATAAACAGGACAGTAAAAAAATAAATTATTTTAATAAAATAATTATTAGTTGATAGAATTCGTAGAAGAAAAATATTAAAGAAAATAGCGCGAATGCAAATTTCATAGAATAAAAAATCACAAAAGTTTTAGAAACAGACTGAACAATAAAAATGCAAATGAATTTTGTAGAAGAAAAATGAGAAAAATAGAGTGAGATAAAAATCACTCTAAAAATTATGAAAATCTTATAAACAAATTGAACGCTATAAAAATGATATTGAAATAAATGATAGTTGGATAAAGATGTGTAAAAATGAGTGAGAATTAGTAATATTTTATTTTTGAGCGAGCAATCAATAAGGATATACATTAATAATTACTTATTTAATTAACTCTTTTAAGTATTTAGCCCCTGTTTGATCCACATTAAATTAAATTACATTATATTTCATTTTTCTCTCTCCTATTTTCAACCACACAATCTTCCATAAATTAACATTACATGTAAATCGAAATTTTTTCTTCTTTTTTAACTACTCATTTTTCTAAAAACTATTATTTCCCTATTTTTATTTTCAAGTAATCGGCATCAAACAGGGGCTTAATATCGTTCATCGCCGCGTAGAAGTTTGTGACTGCGACGCGAATGAACGGAATTGAGTTAAAGATGAAAAGGTTACGTTATTTTCTTCATCACCCGTTGACCTTATCATCACTTGTTTAATTAACTCTTGTATATACGAAAAAATACACGGCCGTCTGAATTTACCTTCACTTTCCTGTCTGGAAATCGCGTTTCCTTCTATTTCACTCCCTTCTATCTTTCTTGTACAGTTTCACTGCTCTGTGAAACACTCGAACACACACACAATAGAGAGAGAGTAAAAGATAACAATCAACATGGGTTGTTTGTTGTGCTCTGGAAAATCAAAGAAGAAAGCAAAGAAACAACAGAACAAGAAGTCCATTGATGAGATCCCATCGAGAGGTACTTGTAAAAACAGAAAATTCTATTCAATTTTAAAGACATTCTAAGCATGCAAAGTTTTAATTTTGTCCTGGTCACAACCACTCTAATTCATTTTCTTCTTCTCTTAATTTTTTTCTGCAATTTTCATGTTATGAAATTGAGGAAAAATGTTCCATCTGCACTCATTATTGGATTTTTTTGTGATAAAACTTAATTGGGTTTGATATTTTGTTGGGAGTCCTCCTTAAGGAAATTTTAGACTATACCGGTGCAGCCTTTATGTGGTTTCTAATACTTCTATAAAGATTAAAACTTTGTGGGCTTGAATATTTTTCGTTCACTTGGGAAATGCACAATAGAAGGACTAGCATTTTTAGTTTTGTAATGTATGGTTAGGTTGGTTAAAATTAGTGATTGTGAATTGACGTTTATATATTAACTGTGTATTTCCAACTTTAGGCTGCATTTTACAGTAAGAATATCATGTGATTGAATTCAAATTGAGCTGATATTAGCTTAGATTTTTGGCAACTCCGTTCAAGTTTGAAATTTAGATGCTAAACTTTCTGTGCTTCCTAGTTTTCCAATGGTTTAACTGTGGAAAGTTCCTAAGGTGTATAAGTCATTCTCTTTTAATGGACAAATGTTTGTTTTAGATGACTGAATGATTTTAAAATGATCATAAAACTTCAATTGTCCAGTTATGGAGTCAAATCATGTTTAGCCTTTGTTATGAACTGTTATCTTGTCTAATTAGCTTGGTCAGCTGTCTTGATTGTCTGGTTCAATGATGGCCTTGTGAGGTGCATTAAAATGTCACACATTCTCTGAGATGATTTTTATTCACTGATGTTTTAATAGGAATTCAACCACTCTCTCTCTCTCTCTATTTTATTTTTTATCTTCTTCCAGAGCCTGAATGCCTGCTCTCAGCGTTTGCTAGAAAACTACCTTGGGCTACTGCTTACTTTTACTTTCTTATGCCATTATTCATCTTTGTCATCCCAGATAATTCTGTACAGAACTCATTCTATTTTCTTGTTGCAGAAAAATTAAAGTTGAACCAGTCACTCGATGTAAAATCAGAAGCTTTTAAGGATGGAGGCTGTGGTCATATTGCTGCACACACATTTACATTTCGTGAATTAGCTACTGCAACCAAGAACTTTAGGGCAGATTGTCTCTTAGGTGAAGGAGGATTTGGTAGAGTTTACAAAGGACGTCTAGAGAGTACCCATCAGGTTTATTTCCCAACCACTGAGACATTTGGACGTGATTTCGAGTTCCTTACAGCTTCATTGAGAAAACTTATCTTGAAATAATTGATTTTCATATGTTGTGTCTCTTTTCCCCACTACCCACGCTCGTGTTAATGTTCTTTTCTTTTACCCCTCCATAGGTGAAGAGATCTTGATAATAGGAGTATCAGTGGGTATACTGTATGAACATTTGATTGTTTTGCTACTCAATTGTATATTGTATAAAAGATCCCGCAGAACAGGAAAAAACTATACAGTTATATGTTCATTATCTGCAAAAGGAGAGTATTTAGTGAATCAGTCTTTTGAACTATAAACATTCTCTTATGCCCATCAAAAGTAAGGGTATATCTTTCTCTTCACTAAATGCTGAGTTGGAGGTTGCGAATTTTTTTATCCTTTTGTCTGCACTTTATATACACTCTTCTGAAAATATCTAATTTGGTTTGAAAATATGATATGAATTTTCTATTTGATAGAAAAGTGAATAGTAGAAGCAGTTACATGTAGAGGCCAATTAGCCTCCGTTTAGGAATTCTAGAATTCCTAGATGGTTTAATTTATAAATAGATAGAAATGATGGTTGATATGTGGATGGTACTGGTATATTGGAATTTGTTGTTAAAAATAAAGTTGGACCATTTGTAAATTATTTATTAATATTGACGAACGGAGGCTCAGAATTTCTCATAGTTATGTTATTTCCTATTGGAATTTACTTTTATTGTTTCAATAAGAGCCTCTATGTATGTAGCCTAGTGACGAAACTGGAATTTTCAAGAATTGTACTGTCTCATCTAGAAGTTTAAGCTAACAGATGGAGACAAATTTAGTTGATCTTCAACACACTCTGCACGTGCTGGACGGATGGATACTTTCATCAAAAACCTAATATGTGCACAATTTTCATCACAGATAACAACGAGACGTGAACTCAGGACATTTGACTACCATGATACCATGTTAGCTTAGTTGTTTGAGAGGAGGCAAATTTATTATTCAAATTGTCTTCAAAATCAGTCACGCATCTTAGCGGTAAAATGGGTACCCTGTTTGCTGTTTTATGTAGGTTGTAGCTATCAAGCAACTTGATAGAAATGGTTTGCAAGGGAATAGAGAATTTCTTGTTGAGGTTTTGATGCTAAGCCTACTTCATCATCCTAACTTGGTCAACTTGATTGGCTACTGTGCCGATGGAGATCAGAGACTTTTGGTGTACGAATATATGTCATTAGGATCATTGGAAGATCATCTACATGGTATGGATTGTACAACACTTTATTTTCATACTAAAATGTATTGTACCTTTGCTGGAATGTGTCAAAAGCACCTTACTGCACAATCAACTTACATGTTTACATTGAATGCTAGCTATAACTAAAATAAAAGACGGCGATCATTTAAATTTCACATGCTTTAAGCTTAATCGTTCGGTTTAAATTTTTCTAACGTTTCATGTTTGAGCATGTCAGATCTTCCACCCGATAAGAATCGTCTTGACTGGAATACAAGAATGAAAATAGCATCTGGTGCTGCAAAGGGCTTGGAGTATTTACATGATAAAGCAAATCCGCCTGTTATATATCGAGATCTTAAATGCTCAAACATTTTACTTGACGAAGCATATCGCCCCAAACTATCTGATTTTGGGTTAGCGAAATTGGGTCCTGTTGGGGACAATACTCATGTATCCACGAGAGTAATGGGAACATATGGATATTGTGCACCAGAATATGCAATGACAGGACAGCTTACATTGAAATCAGATGTATATAGTTTTGGAGTCGTTCTTCTGGAGATCATAACTGGAAGGAAGGCAATTGATGATTCAAGGGCTGCCGAGGAGCATAATCTGGTTGCATGGGTAAGAGACTCTTATATATATATATCTGCTACTTAAGATCCTTGTGTTTAATATCTGTTTTATGGGTTTATATGATCTTCTATAACTTGTATAGCTGCATAAAACTATGATGTAGCAGTAACTTGCTTTATTTATTAGCTGAGCAAGCCGTTGCATCAACCTGTGTTCTGTTGTGATAAGTGTTCCATACATGTGTTATCACTCTAATATATCTAAACATGTAAAGGGTTATGGGGTGTCGTTTCATGTGTCCAAGTGAGTGTGAGGAGAAACTTCTATATTTATTGATTATAGTGAAAAACTACAGGCAAGTAGAGTAAGGAATCACATCAAGGGTGTGCTACTATAAATTTGTGTGTGCTTTGTTCCTTTTGTGATTACTATTTCCCTTGAAATTAGGGATTAAGGCTTAGTTCGGAACATGAAAGAGAAGGACTGCATTGTTTTAATAGGCGACAGTAAGCAACTTCTACAGGTTTTGTGGTTATGCGAGTGTTTCAGCACTTGATACTGACCTTTGCTATCCAGATTTCCACATTGAGCGCCTGCTTACGAACTGCATTATTGTGTATAAGAATACATGTCTCTTGTACACGTTCTAATACTTTGGCGCACTAATGCACTCACATTTTTGCTAGAGAGTATTCCACCCAATTCTTCAATTTTGCTACCCTATCTCAGTTCTGATGATCTCATTTCTTGACCCTGTAATGAGATGGTAAGTTCAACTAAATGAATATCCATATCAAAAGATGCTAAGAGCCTGTTTGACAACCATTATTGTAGGAAAAAATAGTTTTGAATAGTGTTTTTGGAGAATGTGTAGTTAAAAGTAGAGAAAAAGTTTTGGTATATGCGTAAAATATTTTATTGTGTGAATGTATGGTTAAAAATGATCATGTAGGAAATCATAAAATAAATTAAAGTGTGTCAAACAGGCACTGATTTTCTCCCATGGAAATTCTGGAATTTGAACTATGACAGCTAATAGCCCACTTAAATGTGGTTAGTGTAAAGGAAATAGTCAATTTGGTGAATTTACAGGAATGTTTATATTACATTTCCATCAGCTGATTTATCTCAAGTAGTGCAGCTCCACTAGCAAAGGCATCTAACCTAAGGAGGTAATATCCACCTACTGGTGCGATATGTTTTCCCGGTTTTTATTTCTTTTTGGGCTCATGCGGGATGATCAGCAAGGGACAGTAGACTCACGTTATGAACCCAGCCAGTATGGTGTAGGCTGGCCCACTTTCAACATCTATATCCATGGAATAGTTAAATTTGCTCTTTCGAGACTTACAGAATGTATAAGTTTTAAGTTCATATAACTTTGTATTAAAGGGATTAAAAGTATGTATACTACTCGGAATGGTTTTGTTGGGATATGGGGATCAGAGATTACTATTAAGACGCTGTATATAGATTTATAAATGCACGTGTAGGTTAGGGCATGAAGAATTCCTAAAAGTATATATTCAAAATAAGTTTAATTATTCCTATGGTTTAAAAGGTTTTTGCATGAGCATTTGAAATGCCGCTCTTTGTATGATGCCAATTCCATATTTTTCAGCATATTGGTTGTAACAAAACAAACAAAAATTAAATTACTATGTTGTGTAATATTCAGGGTTAATAATATGGATGATTTAGCCTACGTTTGGTTCATGTTTATAAACACTCAAGCCAATTTTTATCCATACATATTGAAGAACCGACAAGTACTATTTATTTATCCATCAATGTATAGAAACATCTCACAATCATGTTCTCAGATTGTTACAGTATTATATGCTGAACTGTTTATCAGGACATAAGACAGTGGTACGAGGAGGGAACCTTGCAATCTTTTTTACTATAGGGAAAAATTTGTATATGCAAGTTGATTAAATTTCATATTTAGAGTTAACCACTATAAAACTGCTTGTTTTTCTGTATGCGATTTTGTTTTTCATTTCATTCATAATTGCTGACGGGATTGGGATTTTGGACTTAATCCTGACAAATGTTGCAGGCTCGGCCCTTGTTCAAGGATCGGAGGAAGTTCTCTCAAATGGCTGATCCAATGCTTCAAGGTCAGTACCCAGCTCGGGGCTTGTATCAGGCTCTTGCTGTTGCTGCAATGTGTGTTCAGGAGCAGCCGAACATGCGGCCCCTCATAGCTGACGTAGTTACAGCACTAACTTATCTTGCATCCCAGAAGTCTAACCCTGATACAATGCCAGTGCAAAGGCCGAGCTCGGCCTCTTCGACTCCAAGATTGCGAAGGTGAAAACTGATTGAGCATTGGACAAGATTACACCAGACAAGTAATCTAAGACTTTTTGATCCTCAGATCCACGATTTTCACGCAGTGTTACTAGGATGGATGCGCCATGGACGAGGATTGTCATGCCGCATGCACGTACATTTTCCTTCTCTTTCAGCCTAGGTTCAATATATTGCTGTCATGTTTTATGAAAAATGAAAAAACAAGGTTGAATCGCCGAATCACGCCCTGTATATTATTTGAATTCTCTTATTTTGTTTATTTTTTTTCACTCTTTTGTCATTCCTTTCGGTTTTTTGGTCTTTGTTCTTCCCCGATTCCATTCTCTTTTCCTAATTTCGGACACGCCCGGTTGTTCCATTTCCGTTTCTGTTTCTGGGTTGGACGATGGATCATGGATGGTCTTGTATCTAAATTTTAGCATAAGGGGTATGAAATGCCCTTACTGGACACATTTGTTAGATCCAAGAAAAGAGCTGGCGATATTTCCTAGCTAGTTTGTAAAAATTATTCTGTTAAATTTGTAAGTCTATATAATTTTTTGTTTTAATTAGCCCCCCATGAGGCAGGCCGTCGTGACGCTACTGGCGAAAATGTTTTGAATTGGTCCATTCTAAAATTTTTGTTATTTTATGAATATTTTTAAAAAAACTTACTGCACCTATCTATAATAAAATATTAAAAGTCACACTTCGAAAACAAAATATAAAAATTTAAGTGAATGACACTTTTTTCTGGTTGATGATGCATTTGGGACCCATTGTTCCTTAAGAGAACCCTGCTTGGTGTGTACAGAATATATACAGATGGTGAAGTGGCGTCATTTTATTGGCCACTGCAAAAAAAAAAAAAAAGACCACTTATATGCTGCGACTGAAAAAATTCTGTCCAGAAATCATCTGTACACTGGGTTTTCCCCTCCTTAAGATAATCTCTATAATTAAAGTCAGACCGCCAGCCTTTAACAAAATAATCTTTAAAATAATAATAATAATAATAATAATAATAAAATAAAATCTTGAGAACCGTCCAAAGCCACCTTGTCCTTATTAATGGCTCATAACTGTAAAAATAAATGTAAAAATGAAAATTAACAAAGTTATTTATATTTAGAAAATCCTACTTGTACATAATTATTACACATAAATGTGTCCATAATATGATGTGGCAATCATCCGACTGTTGATGTGCAAGTGCGAAATTTGAATTAAAGGTTGGATCCAGTATAACATGTAATTATGGACACCATTATGTAGACAATTATGTATATGTAGCACTTCCCTTTATATTTTATAATTATTTAAAAATATATGTAATAAGAATCTGATGAAACTAAACCTGAACATTTTAATTTTAATCTAGGTCGATTTTTTTTATCAATGTCTATCGAACCGACTAAATTTTTATGTATCCATTTTATTCAACTGAGGTTTTAATTCATAGCCAAAAAACTCAAATTGCAAAATTCAACCATGTTTGAATTGGCGACTACCAACCATGCTACCAATCCAATTAATTCTATAAACAACTTGTATTTTTAATAACATTTATATATAACTGCTAGTTTTTGACTTTTCGTAGATGTTAAATTTCATAATCCTATTAAATTTGTACCATTTGTTTGTCTACATCAAATTTCACAAATTAGGTACATCGATCTACCAAAAATTTCGGTCGCGCCAATGTAAGACATCTATTGGTACTATTTAATCAAACACAATAGAAGATATCTATCAACAATTTCACCGACTTTAAAAATGTATTCGAACTTCCGTCGAAAAATTTCTATCAACTTAAGTGTTCATTGATGGAATTTTGACATCAATGACAGATTTTTTCATAATTAATGATCCACCATTTTGTAATGATATCATTTATCATGTATTTTAGACCACGATGGCAATTTAAATTTCATTTTCAACAAATAAATCAATTTTAAGGGGTGTTTAATAGACATTTTTATATAAAAATGTATTTTAGAATTGTAAATTAATGTGAAATATATGGTTAAGAAATAAGGAAAAGTTTTTTATTTACATGTAATATTATTTTAATAAAAAATATGTGGTTGAAAAGAAGAGAAAGAAAAATGCATTTTAAAATAAATGGCTACCAAACGGAGGGTTAATATAATAATTAAAGTGCAAAAGTATTTTTCTTTTTTTCGTTGATAGTAAACAATATTTTTTTCTCCCCAACGTTCGCTTGCGTAGACATTTGAATGTATTGGACGAATAGTAGCCGTTAATGAAATGAAGAAAGTGGTGGAAGGCGGTGGGGATGTGTCCGTTGGGTCGGTGAAAGCAAAGTAGTGATGCAATGGACGGCTAATTCGCCCCCCCACCCCACCACCCCACCCAACCACCACTCTATATATATATATATATATATCCATCTGCACTCGGACACAGTTACAGGCTAGCATCTCATATAAAAGAAACAAATATATACATATTTCTTTTTGTAATTCTAAAGTATGGTAAAAGATGGTGGAGTGGCTGAGCATGGATCATTCACAGTCAAAGACTACCACGATCCACCACCGGCGCCGTTGATTGATGCGGCGGAGCTTACAAAGTGGTCATTTTACAGAGCTATTATAGCTGAGTTTATAGCCACCTTGCTTTTCCTTTACATTACGGTTTTGACTGTGATAGGGTACAAGAGCCAGACTGATACCAACGCCGGCCACGGCGGTGATCAGTGCGGTGGCGTTGGAGTTCTTGGTATTGCATGGGCCTTTGGTGGCATGATCTTCGTTCTTGTCTACTGCACTGCTGGAATTTCCGGTGAGCTTTGTTTTATATAAAATTATGGATCAGAAAACAAGTTTATATATATATTGATTAAATGGTTTATCATCATGTGCAGGGGGGCACATTAATCCAGCAGTGACATTCGGGCTTTTCTTGGCCCGGAAGGTGTCGATGATCAGAGCCATTATGTATATGGTGGCTCAGTGTTTGGGGGCCATTTGTGGCGTCGGACTGGTGAAGGCATTCCAGAAAGCATATTACAAGAAGTACGGCGGCGGCGCCAATGAACTCGCAGACGGCTACAGCACCGGCGTGGGATTGTCGGCTGAGATCATCGGAACATTCGTTCTTGTTTACACAGTTTTCTCAGCCACCGATCCCAAGAGAAGTGCCAGGGATTCCCATGTTCCTGTGAGTTGCACATATACAATTCCCCATCTTTTTTTCTTCTGAGAAGTGCATGTTTGGTTAAGTTATAAGGCTTACTTATAAGGAATAAGTATTTAGAAAAATTGGATCCATGAAATAACTTAAATATTTCGAAAACAAAGAAAGCACCTACTAGTGATAAGTACAAGTTAAAATTACTTTAAACTTGACTTTGTTCGACTTCAAAATTGATCCTAAACTCTTTACTTGAGTTTGAGCCCGGCTAGAATTCAGTGGTTTTATCTTTATGAAACGATTCGATATTGACACTACTTGAATCTGGACTTGAATCTCAGGTTTTGGCACCTCTCCCAATTGGATTTGCAGTTTTCATGGTTCACTTGGCAACCATCCCAATCACTGGTACTGGCATCAACCCTGCTAGAAGTTTTGGAGCTGCAGTAATCTACAACCAGGAAAAGGCTTGGGATGACCAGGTTAGCATTTTTGGAAAGTAATTATGAATTAGAGTTGACTATATGAATCGTGTTTTGCACCATTTAATTCACTTTGCTGCTAATTATACTCGAAGAGCCCTCATGCAATGATTAGTAGGATTTGTGTCATAAGATGTGATTAAATTTCAAGTTCAATGTCAATATTCTACCTCAACCCTTCGGGTTTTTATCTAAACATGTGACAAGATCCCTTTTTTTTTTCTTTTTTCTTTTTTCTTTTTTTTTTTCTTTTTTTAAGTCTAAACATGAGACGAGCTACGAAAAAACATGAGTTACATCCCTGCATTTACATTGAAAAAACACCTACAATCACAAGTAATAATTTATGTATACTTTTGTCTCCTTCAGTGGATCTTCTGGGTAGGACCCTTCATTGGTGCAGCCATTGCAGCCTTCTACCACCAGTTTATTTTGAGAGCGGGAGCAGCTAAAGCTCTTGGTTCATTCAGAAGCAGCTACCATGTTTGATTATAATTGTAAAAATCTCTTTGGTTTTAATTGCTTTTTGGCAAATCATTGAATGAATAATGTTGAATTGCAATTAGATTTCATGTTTAAGATTTCTCGAGCCCTCAACGTCAAAATTATTCTAAAAATCATATGTGGATGGAAGAATAGAGACAACCACAAAAGAGGAAACCTTTTTCTTTTGAATTATTCTTGAGGTACATAACCAAGTATATAAGGGTGTCCAGTGTCCGATGCTCCCTTATGTACACCAAGAATAACTCTTTTCTCTTTCCCTTGTGGTCTGGGTCATCTTGTAGATTGGCTCATGAATTTGTTCACCCTTCAAAATCAAGTGTAGGAAACCTCTTGGATTAAATATTCAATTAATTTTATAACATACTCAGCACGCTAAATAGACATGGACAATTAACAAATATTGGCAATTGTCTCTTTTATAATCTTATTATCAAATTCATTGCAGTCTAAAATATCAAATCGACTCCTAAACGACAACATAAGCTTTCTACACCTTTGACTTTGAGGACTGTTGAATGCGATGGAGTATCACACCATGGGATGTCATCAATAGTGCGCATTTGGATTGCCTTAACATATAATTTAAGTCGATCAAATCTTCATATAACTGTAAATGGTAAGATTCATAAGTCATAACTAAAAATTGTTACCTATTTATTATCTATACATTTTATAGGACCTATTGAATCTTCACAACGCCTTTTTATTTACTTACAAATAAATCCAAACATAACATTTTATAACCAAGTGTGGAACTCTCCTATAGTGGATATCATTTTCCTAACCCTAGAAAGAAAGGAGGATGAATTAGTGCAAATAATACGCCCATCTCATTGAAATTTGAGGGCTAGATGTAGGCACCCATCCCCATCTAGGTATAGACAATAACATTTTCCACTTGAGCATTGTTACGCCCCTACCTATGACAATTTAAAATTAAGAACCAACAATATTATTATTATTATTATTATTATTATTATTATTATTATTATTATTATTATTATTATTATTATTATTATTATTTCTTTTTGTTGTAGGGGGTGTGGGGGTGGATTTGTACTTTTTGTCTCCTATTTTTACTAAATGTAACAAGTTTACCATCAACCTTTTTAGCTTAAAACAAGTAAATTCATATTAGCACATAAAAGAAAAGGAATTAAAAATAAATAAATTCATTTTCACTAAGCAAACTTACCCGTCCACCCTAATCCACATCACCTTCATAAATGGCACTACGAGTAAATTTATTGACATTAAATTCATAAAAAGATATTAAATTGTTGTTGTATGTGTTAGGACTGTAAGCAAAAACAGCAAAATCGAAAAATCGGATAGAAATCGCATTTTAGAAACCGTCAGTTTGGTGCCACGTGGACCCGGTCAACGAAATGGTTTTGAACCAAATCAAACTGAACAAAATGGTTTGGTTTAGGTTTGAGAATTTCAATTGCGGTTTAAAACCAAACCGAACCGGCAAAAAATATATAAAAATAAAAAAAATGAAAAAATGGAATGTTCTGAAAATTCATCCAAATATGTAAAATTCAATAATTTTGTCATTTGTAAGTATTTTTGTCAACTTCTAATTTTCTAATACATATATATTATTATTACCTAATAATTTTAATTTATATATAATAACCTCAAAACGAACATAATCTATCAAAAATCACTTTCCTCTTCAAAATTCATATAAACTCCAGCTCACACCCAACATAGGCTTGAGCCACCAGCACTACACACTCTTCTTCTTTAGATTTTTTACATCTCTTCAAAGTTGAATTGTAGTTCATTATTCCAAATTAGAGACAAAGAGATCATAGGTCTTTGGAGATAATATTTGTTACGAATAAAGTTTCAAATCAATAATATTTTTGAGCAAACTGAAGTAAGAATCTGAAATTAAATGCGTTTCGTAACAACTTACAAACGTAAGCTTGTATAATTGTTATATTTAGATATTATAAACAACTGCTTTATTATTGTGGTTGGTTATTCTATTTGTCTAACCAATAACCTTTTTGTCAGATATGATGATCACGAGGTCTTGTTGAATATCATTATGTTTTTTGGACTTTATATCTCGTTTAGTAGACTTGTATTGTACCGTTATCATAACGTTATTAAACTATAAAAGGTGAACAAAATTGAAAAAAAAAATTCATGTTTTAGTTTATTGTTATTTCACTTTAATTTAGTAGATATATTTAGCCCATGTTTAAGACATATGTTCCATGTTATCATAATAAGAAAATTGATCGTTGGAGAGGAGGCTGGGTTCCATGCATGAAACAACAGGTCAACAATGCAATTGGACTTGTGGGATAATGGTCCAAATTTTCAGTTTTTTGTCCCAAAAATTTTAATGTCGTAAAAATAGACAGACAAAAAAATATACGAAGAAACCGGCGATTTAAAACCTTAACAAACTGTTAGGTTTAGGTTTGAGTTTTTTTCAAATTGTTCAAAATGATTTTGTTTAGGTTTGAGTTTTTCTTAAACCGGTTTAAACAGTTTGGTTTGAAAATTTGTCAAAAATCGGTAAAATCAAACCGCTTACACTCCTAGTATATGTGATAGCAAAATTTAAAATTATGAAAACCCTTAAATTGTTCTTCTCTCTTTTTTCACACGATTCATTGCCGACACTTTGAGTCATAATAGATAAAAAAATTTCCCTACTGGAAATTAAAATTAGATTTTCAGTAGATTTTGATAAAAATTGAATAAATATGTGATTGAAAAGTTGGGATCCTGTAAATAATATGTGAAATTTGTCTTTTCTTCCAAGCTTTTATTAAGGATACACTCGACAACACTTTCATTTTTAATTTTTGTAGAGAAGTTTTCTGAGATTATTTTAATTTTTGTTTAAAAAGTAATTTCTAATACAGTTTCTTAATAAGAAAGTGATTTTAGAGGATCCACATTGGATTAACTTCTTTTAAAATTTTTTTTAATTAGAAGCACTTTCATTAAATTAGTGAAATAAATTCAAAAACAACTTTTGGATCTCAAAAGTATTGCCAAACAGGCTCTCAAAAGCAACTTTTTTTAAGAAAACACATTTATAAAATTATCCGAACTGGTCAAAAAGTAACTTTTGAATCTTAAAAGCTCATTTTGACTTCTTAAAACCATGCCAAATTGGCCATAAGCACTTTTGTGGGTGTGATAATTTAAAATTTTATTTTTCTAAAGAATGGTAGTTAAAAAGTAGAAAATGTAAAAAATAATATTTTTGAAAAAATGTGATTAAAAATGAGCGCAAGAAGATTGCAATTTTCAAAATATTGCTTTCAAACAATGTTAAAAATAAACATAGCAAAAAGAAAAAAATGTATAACCAGAAAAAACTTCAAAGGTTAGGTTTTAGACAAAACGGAATTAATTTAAGGAAGATAGTCCAATGTGATAAATTTTACATTAACGATAATTGGAGAAGGTGGCTCTCTTAAGGGTCGGTCATTTAAGATCTATGGAAAGTTGACCATTATGAACATCTCAATGTTCTTTCCTTCAATCTTTTGCGCATAATGCTGAAAATGAAAAGTTCTAATAGTGAAATATTCCCACCTATACACAAAGCCAATATCGAGAGCCTTTGATACAATTTTTTTTTTTTATCAATACAGTCGCTCATATTATTCAGCCACTTTTTGTGATTATAAATTAGTGGATCCCATGAAATTGTATATAGAAGTTGTTAGTCCAATGAAGTTTGACCATCGTATTATTTCAAGAAACTATGTCAAACAATAGTTCAACAATAAATTAATAAAAGAAAAAAAAAAAAAAAAAAAAGAAAGCCAAATTTTCAAAAAATTTAGAGTTGAGCTACACGAATTTTTTTCCTCCATTCCATCATTTTATAGCTACTTTTACAAAAAGAGAACAAACTGAATCATAGACAACCACAACTGACCACGTCAATTTTGCTCGTATCATTCCATCTACGGCCCTATTGGCTCAACACAGAAACAAATGTATTATTTATTAAATCCTTACTATATAAAAAGGAGAATGTGAAGTTACTGTAAAAAGCAATAATAACTTAATCCATTTTGTCTTATTGTAGCTTTTTTGTTTTTTTTAAGTGGAGGAGCAAAACGACGTCGTTTGCCTTGATATATATTTTATTATATTGTAAGAAAATATTGCAACACGCAATTTCCATACCTTTCACCACTCCGTGCTCAACCACTCTTATATATATATAGTATGAATATAAGAAAAAAATCACTTTTATATAAAAAAAAATTTTAAAAAATAAAGATAATATAAGACATAAAATATTTTACAAAAAGTTACTTGTAAGTAAAAAATTTGAAGAGAAGAATTTTAAATCGAAAAAAATATTATAATGTAAAATTACACGGCAAAAAAAAAATAATAATAAAAATAAAGAAAAATCTCAAATCTAATGTCTCCATGCATGGAGATATATATGATTTTTATTATTATTATTTTTACATTATAAAAATATTTTTTTTTCAGTTTAAAATTCCTTTTAACTCTTTTCTCTTCATAATATAATTTTTCAATTTTAACTAAATAATATTTATATGTTCTTTACTTAATTTTTGTAACTTTCTTTTATTTTGTTTTTATTCTATTTTTTTGAATAAATATTTTTTTTTCAATTTAAAATTCCTCTTAATTCTTTTCGTTTAAAACACAATTTTTTTGCATTTAATCCTAATTTCACTCTTACTCTCCGTTGCTACGATACTGATTTCTTTAGGCCTTTAACCTTATTTCAATCTCCCTCTCTCGATTGTTTCAAAAATACCCAATAATTTCACGCACAATTCAGACGATTAACTGTATACCGAATCTTTAAATCTTCAATTTCTTCTGCTGTATATTTTACTGCTAAATCTTGATTTTTGTTTTTTTTTGTGAGATTTAACAAATCGCTCCCAAAATACCGTGAAATCTCAGAAGAAATTGGAGTTTAGGTGTGTTCTTTTGTATTTTTTATCATGAATTTTCCATTTTTATTTATTTTTTTTGGTGAGAATTTAACAAATTGTTACCAAAATACCACAAAATTTCGCCAGAATTTGGGCTCTGGGTACCTCAAGTTTGTTCATTTATAATTTTTTTATTCTTTTTATTTCATTGTGTTCGTGTTTACTCTGAAGTTTTCATTCTTTCCTTCCGACTTTGTTTGGACTTTTGTGAAAGTCGTAAACAGAAAAAAATGGATTAACGTACAAATTGAAGATTATCGACTTGAGGTATGTTGATTTCATTTTTGCTTTGTTTGAGGGTGGTTTTTCTTTTACAAATAATTCGTTTTTACTGTACACTATTCATAATTTTAGCTTCTGATTTTTTTTTTATTTTTTATTTTTTTTATGCTTGAACAATTGTACTTTAAGTGTTTACGTGTATAGTGTTTTATTGTAGTTAAGGAAATACTTGGTGTTGACAAATTTGTAGTTGAACTAATAGTTAAGGTGTAGGTGATTGAAAGGATTACTTATATTATAAGCATGTTTGAAAAGTTTGAGACCAGTTTTATTGCAACGAATTTCTGTACTATTAAAAAAATTTTGTAGCTCAAAGAGGTTTCTTATTTCGAATGTTAGGTGGTATATGAGGTAGCTCACTAAATATAAAATATTTTAGTAAATTCTCATTCTTTAGTTATATATTCATGTGAAGGGAAGGACTGCAAATGAAACGGTTATGGAAAAGGGTCATTGCTCAATAAGAATGGAAAGTGTTTATATTGGGAATAGAAGAAAGCTTGGAAAACACATTCAATTAATAGAGTTTTACTGTGAGTGACAGCTAAAAAGAAACCCCATTGGGGACTGGTGCCCTAAATTTTTCTTGCAAGATTCATTCCAAGAAACCAAGACTAGAACCGTCCGATAAGATCTCTGTATATTTACTGTCTCTTTACTTCTTGACATAAAAGCTCCTCATTTTTTTTGTATATTTAATATATTATCTGTGGTGTTGGTGCATGATTTTTGTTGTCTTTTAGGGTGTAATAATGTGTGGGTTGCGTGAAAATATTACAACTACAATGCTAATGGAGTGACCCTCCACTTTGCCTTTCTTCATCCTCTACCTCTTAATAGGTGGGTCATTTTTTTCTTTTGGAATAATTCGTTTTAGATATAGATTATTTTTAATTTGAGGTTCTAATCTTCTGAAACTTTTAAGAATTAAAGAAATTAAATCATTTAACAAATTTAAAAAAATTGTAGGCAAAAATAACATAAAAACGAAAAAAGGTTATTATAAAGATTTTTTTAGTTAAATTGAAATAATTATAATTAAAAATAAATATTATTTAACTAAAATTGAACAAATTACATTGTATCATAAAACGAAAAGAATTTTAAATCGAAGAAAAAATTATTCGCTTATAATATGAAGAAAAAAGAATTTTCAAAACAATTTTCAAAAAAATATATAAGAAAACAAAGTTACAAAAATTAAATAAAGGATATATAAATATTATTTAATTAAAATTGAAAATTTAAGTTTAATCATAAAGAAAAAAGAATTAAAAACAGTTTTAAATAAAAAAAATTATTTATAAAATGAAAAAAAATAAATAAGGTTAAAAAATTTCTCCTCCCTCCATAAAGTCCATAAAGAGAAACAAAGAGAATCTATCCTTTCGAAAGTTTGAAATCTCTCATTTGAAAGGAGAGTAAATTCTGTTTAACTTTTTTTTTTTGTTATGATCAAATTTAATTTTTTAATTTTAATTAAATAATATTTATATATTATTTATTTAATTCTCGTAACTTCTTTTTAATTTGTTTTATTTTTAATATATATTTTTTAAAAAATTACTTTGTATTATAATTAATTTATTTTTCTATTTAAAATTCTTTTCATTTTATCATTTTTTAAATTTTAATTAAATAGAATTTATTTTTAATTATTTCAATTTAATTAGAAAACTTTATACTAACCTTTTTTTTTCTGCAATTTTTTATTCTTCTTTAATTTTTTAAATCATTTATTTTTTTTATAATATGAAGAAAAAAGAATTTTAATCATAGAACGAAAAGAATTTTAAATCGAACAAAAAATTATTTATAATATGAAGAATTCTTTTTTTTTTAAAACAATCTTCAAAAAATATATACCAAAAGCAAAACAAATTAAACAAAAGAATTTTGTGAAAATTATATAAAGAACATATAAATATTATTTAGTTAAAATTGAGAAAAATTAAGTTTTTTCATAAAAAAAAAAGGATTAAAAAGGATTTTAAATCGAAAAAAATATTTATAATATGAACAAAAGAAATAAAAAATAAAGAAATGAGGAAAAATAAAAACGAAAAAGAAATCTCCATCATCTTGCGATAATCCAATGAACCAAACGATTGGATTTCACCACCAACTTCAAATCTTCATTGAAAAATCTACAATTTTGACGCTAATATCTTTAATTTGTTAAATCATTTAGTTTTTTTTATAATATGAAGAAAATTTTTTTGAATCATAGAACGAAAAGAATTTTAAATCAAACAAAAAATTATTTATAACATGAAGAATTTTTATTTTTATTTTTAAACAATCTTCAAAAAATATATAATAAAAACAAAACAAATTAAACAAAAGAATGTTGCGAAAATTAAATAAAGAACATATAAATATTATTTAATTAAAATTGAAAAAATTAAGTTTTTTCATAAAGAAAAAAGAATTAAAAAGGATTTTAAATTGAAAAAAATATTTATTATATGAACAAAACAAATAAAAAATAAATAAATGAGGAAAATATAAAAAACGAAAAACAAATCTCTATGCATCCTGCGATAATGTAATTAACCAAACGATTAGACGTCACCGAATACTTCGAATCTTCAACCAGTTTTGAAAAATCTACAATTTTGACGCTAATAAAAATACAATAAATACAAAACTCGTGCAACACACGTGTCAAAGACTAGTATTTAAGAAACTTCACAAGTCTCTCCTTGTGCAAAATTCCCAGCTAACTACGATCCTATAAACCAGAAAGTTCTGAAAGGAACCAACAGAACTATACCGTGTCTTGTGCCCTGGAGGGGGATAAAAGTACGAGGAGAAATAAAAAAATATTGGCTCCTGGAGAGAGCAAAGGAATAACCTTCCATTAATATCATGCACTAACCTCACATTTTCATCCAACGAAGAACTTCCTGAGTGACCCATCCTTTCGATCTTTAGCAGCTTCAGTTAAAGCCAGAAATTTCTTGAATCCGGTTGCAGAAAAACCCCTTCCAAGTGCAGCTGCTCTCGCCAGCACTTCCTCTCCTGATGAGATTATTCCAGGAGCAGGCAGACCAGCTAGCACTGGTGCAATGGACGTGCTGGAGACTGTGGGGACGACTGAATTAATAGACGGTTGAGTGGTTCTAGCATCACGTTTGTTATAATCATCAAGTATGCTTTGCTGGTCATTCCTCCTGAGGCCCTGCCAACGAGTGACAACATAACACGAAAAGAGTGAGAGGATAAAATTTTACAAAAACATTAAAAAAATCAACATAAGCTGTTTTGTGGTTTCAGATATTAGACATTGCAATTTATGGGCGTGCCATCTGAATTGCCAAAGATAGTTATTGGCAGGTCATCAACCACAAGTGCTGGCTCTACGATCATGGTTGGCTAAGCGAGAAGTTCACTTAGAAGTCAACTAAACAGAGAGGGCAACCATACTCCCTTTTGGTGGGATCAACAACCCAGACTGTCTAGTTCGCAAGAGTAGAAAAATATGCATAATCCAATCAAAGGCCATCTCCAATGCATCCTCCAAAACACCAAAATGCACCATTTTTTGGTGCAAAACAACTCCAATGCAACACTATCCAAAGTCATTTTTACCCTTTCTTTTCATTTCCCAAATAAATTCATTAAGGGTATTTGTGTCATTTGTGCTATATATTTTTTAATACAATAAATTATTATTATTATTATTTGCATTTAAAATAAATTTTAAATGTAAAAAATACTAATTAATTAAAAGAAGAAAAAAAATTTAAAATATAACAAACATGGTTATTTCTTAAAGTTAACACGGAATATATTAAAATATTTAAATAAATAATAAATTTTATATTTATTAATGAATATAATTTTTCCCTTAATTTAACGCAATTATATATTTAGTAATTTATGTATTTATAAAATAATTAAATAAATAATATTTTAAATAAATAATATTTCAAATAAATAAATTATTAAGAATAAAAAAAAGAGAAGAAAATGGTTAAACACTGTTCATTAGGTATAAGTTTTGATGTAACAGTTGGAGATGAATTTTACTTTGATGTAAAATGATGCAAATTTTGGTTCAGCGTTGGAGATGGTCTAATGACCTAATTACCTTTTATTAACCATTTAGGAAAAATAAAAAGTTCTTGAAATTCCTGCTGAGAGTTAAAAAAAAAAAATCTAGATAGTGATAGTCTTGAAAAACCTTCAGATCCAGAATCCGCTGAAACTCTGAAGGTGTCCCCTCAGGCAGCAGGGCGCAATATGTATCTGCCACGGAGTCAACCGGAGACAATATTACCTGTGCAACAAACAGGAATGGTGCATGGGACTGGTAAAATACATCTAAAAGACGACCTTTTTAAATCAAAAAAATTCCAGACGCCATTTAATCACACCTTTAGTAGTGCTTCCGCTTTGCTCATCTCACGATTTACATATTTCGAGTAGCTGGAAGCTCCAGATGTCTGTTCAGAGGAAAACATAGATTCGTTATATTGCATCTACCTCATATAACTACAAGGGCTTCAAAAGTAGAACACTACAATTTTCGTCGAATATATCTTCCTAAAATTTAAGTTATAAATCACGCAATGATTGTAGCACTTTTGAGAGCGAAGACTTACGACTTAATATATCTATAATATCTTTTTAATTGCAAATTAATCCTTCATCTCGAGTGAAAAGTAAACTGTGATAAACGAATAGAATTTGAACTAGAAATAATGAAAATAAACTGAAAAGTTACCGTTATGTTAGACTAAGTTGGGCCATTTCTAGATGGGGGTAACCATTGATTTACAATTGGGACATTTTTTTTTCATCCCATTGTTATGGATCCAGGGGGTGACAAATCTAAGTTACAGTTGGAGCATGGTTTGTAGAAAACAGTTACTTACCCCTCCAACTACTTCACAAAACCAATTGTGTGTGTATGTTTTCGATCCCAAATCAGAATATTGCTTAGAAGACGACAGAGATAAGCCAGGTACATGTAAGTTACGAAGTGCACTTTGCAAGAACTTCAAATTTCTATTACCTGTTTCCCAAGGGAAGGAATATCCAAAAGAATGGTTTTTACAGCCTGCGTATCCAATAACATCTGCAAATTGCATAATGTGGTCACTTGTATTCCCCTAAAGGATTACTTCTGCAGAACATATAACAAACTGACAAGAGATGATGATTAATACTTGTTGTGCTCCTGTTTCTGATATTTGCTTGCATTTGAATATATTGAGGTAGAAGCGTGGACCAAGAGAAGACGCAAGCTACAAAGAAGAATGAAAATATGAGCGTCTGAATCAAGAAATAGCAATAAAGAAAGGTTGAGAAAAGAATCGAAGGATCATTTTTTGGATAGTGTTTTCAAGTTCACTAGTTTATCTGTAAATATGTGAGCATAATAGAAATAAAGTGAGATAGCCTAAAAATTTAAATTTTGAAGGCACTGGCCAACAATGCAAAGCAAAGATAGAGAGAGAACATAAATTCCCTTTCACATACTCACCTTGTCAAGGAAGAACTGGAAATAAATTGGAGAAAGAAGACTTCCAAGTACAGGAATGCTAGTAGTCAAAATTGTGTTTATGGAATTGACATACCTGAAGGAATACATATATACATGTTTTATATAAAAAGACATAATAGCCACCTTCAATAGTTAGCATATTCATAGAGCTCATCTTACGCTGATTGGTCACCGACACTTTCAAGCGTGCCCCAGGGTACGCGTGTCATTGCAGCCATTTCAGCATCAAATTTAGTTTCTATGCCATGCACTAAAGTGATCAAGGCTTTTGTTATAACTGCTGAGAATTCATCCTGTACAAATGAAGTAGTATTTAGAAAATGTAGAAGAGAGAAGCATAAATGAAACGACTTGTATTTTATATTTTTTATTTTTACCTGTACTTCAGACATATCAATCATACTGACAAACTGAGGTTCAATTATTTTGGACACATTTTCAGCCAGTTCACCAGACTGCCAACATAAATGAAAGGGTTAAGACTGAATTTAAGATGGATGAAGGAAGATTAAAAAATTGATTACCATGTAATCACCTCAAGTACTTTGTCAACACAAAAAGGGCTAATTCAGACTATCGTAATACCCGAATGTTTTACACTTTACGCTGGTGAGTAATTCATCCATTTCTACATTTTATGATATAGTGATCCGTATTTCCACATTTATGCATGATTGAATATGTTTAAATGATAATTATTTCAGGCGTTTATTTGTGGGCATGGTGCATATGCATGTGTGTGAGTCCCCAGGTGACGATGGTACAATTTTGATAATAAAGACAAGATGTCAAGATAATGTTGTCCTAATGATGTAATGGTGTATTGATAATGTGGTGTACTACTGTGATAACAGCCATACACTTGTGCTGCAATAATCTAATTAGTGCTTATGGGGCCTGGGAAAGTTGAAAGAGAACAGAACTCAAATTCTTAGATGCCTCATAATTATGGTTCCCTCCTCAATCCGTTAAGAACTTGTCTGTTACAGGTTCTCACTAGAATTCGGTTTCTCAAAACAATACAAGGCAGAAGAAAACATTTGGAGACTCATCCAGTATTCTATCATCATTGAAATCTTAATGACCACAAAGCTGCAAATATTACCAGTGATTTGACTTGAACAGACAATTCACAGTTGTAAATCCAAATGTAATTATATAGTTGCAAGTCCATGGTGTAATCAAAAAACCAACTCACCGTTTTGTGGCAATATTCAGCTGTGCTAACTATATAACAGATCACCCGTTCATCCTTATCAGATGTCTGCGTGAAATAGTTTGTAGATGAGTGAGTACGAAAGTCAATAAAAGGAAAAAATACCGGCAAAGTTTCCTCCAAAAATCTAAAGACAAGAAAATGACTACCTTTATCTGTCCATCCATTCCTGTTGCAGCTGCTACAATTCCTGTACCACCCTTGGGCAATCTCATGAAAAGCTTTGTTGCATATGCTTTAAGAAATCTTTGAAACACCTATTTATAAAGAGACCATTAAATTGCCTAGAAACATTCATGACAATTAGAGCTTATAACATGAAGTCCGTCATCTTCAGGTTCCTTTCAAAACACCATGAGTAGGTCCAAATAGTGAAGGGTAAATCGATTAGAATTCTTAGTGGCATGTGCTTTAAGAATCTGTCCTTGATTTTTTTTGAAAGAATGGAATGCGTCCTCAATGAAAAATTTTGTGGCAAATGTGCAGACCAAAGTATTGTTGGATCATCTGACCCTTCTAATTTTGTGACATCCCTATAGGCCATTGACAATGAGTCAGGGATAAATATTCTGTAACCAAGTAGAATTGAATGTTCTTACAGTCTGGTTTTAGCAACCACCATAAATCTGGATTATGCATTCTAGAGTATTAGCTGACAAAAAAATGGATAACCTGGACAATGTTTAAAAAGGTAGAACCAGATACTGAAGCATTTCTCTTCGTGAGCAAGGCATAAGCCTCGAGGCGAAATGAGGCGTCAACCTCCCGCAAACCAAAAAATTGTCAAAAAATATAAAATAATACAAAAGTAAACATATAAGAACCATAAATAATATTATAAATTCTCCACAGAAACAAAACCAAAATAAACAAACCACCCATTAATATAATTTTATACAAAAAAAGTTAGAAAAGAAAAGGAAAAGAAATGCAGAAAAAGCCAAAAAAAAAAAAAAGTTAAAAAGATATGTAGATTTTTTCACCCAGCCAGAGTTTGCTGCCTTGAAATCTTATTGAATAAGTTTTGGGTCTTGGCTAATGGGGAGTGGGGAGGCATGGGGTTGCTTTGGTCAAACAAGTAAAAGATATAATGGGCCCAACATTGAGGTTTATTTGAGATGGACCAAGTTAAAGAGCCCCTTAAAATTCACATTCAGAGTTACAAAAAAGAGAAGAAAAAAAGGTCAAATGTCAGGGCAAAACTAAGGCGACGCCTGCACCATCAGTGAGACATCTGCCTCAGAAAAATAGCATGAAAATTAGCGCCTCGAGGCACTACAGCCTTTTCAAACCATGACATGCTCATGTGTTGTACAAAATTTTCAAAACCTGTTAGTTCTCCATTTCCTTCTTTTTCCCCTCTCAACCTTTGATAATCGAAGTTTGCCAAAAAAATAAACCCCTGTTTGACCTCGGTTATCGAAAAACACATTTTTTCTTAAACTCATTTTCAACCACATGCTCTTCCAATAAAATAATTTTGCACGTAAACCTAAAACATTTCCCTATCTTTTAACCACATTCTCCAAAAAATCACTATTAAAAAACTCATATTGAAAAAAAAAGGGGTCTCAAACACACTCTAAATATGCTAACTAAAAAGGAATTGAAGATCATACAAGGTGCCTAAATTTTAATAAGATCTCGTCATTACGATAAACATTTTGTCTTCTCTGTTCAAATTGTAGCAGTACAAGAACATCCATATCAGACAAGTAAATTTAGAAATAGTCCTCTAGACAAGTAAATTCCCTAGCAGGACCATCGAAATGTGGAATTTCAAAAAACACACCTTGAACAAATTAAATAGTGTCTGACTTTTTGTCAAAGCGCTGCATCGCTTTAAGCTCCTCCTTATTATTGAAAAGACCTTCATATAACAATTAAAGAAATCAACTTGGCATGGGTAATAATATCAATGAGCTCCATAGAGATGCAATAAGAAAGAACAGCTGATGGAGAACACTGCAATAAGATTGGGTGGCAACTAAGGGGACATATTAGAGAATGCAGTATGAATACACAGAAAACTACATGAGAGAAAATTTTAGATGTACAAATATCAATGAAAAGGCAAAAAAATCACTTGTTATCAACACAAACGAAATAATACGATCATATTCATATTCATATCCTTTATATTTTGTCTTGGTAAACACGATTCTTTGAATTAAATTGATTTTTAGTTATCTGTCATATTGGCACGACTCTATCTTCAATTTTGTACCTACATTTCAATAGGTTCATTAATAAAATTGATAAAGTTTTCTTCATTGCTATTATAGAATGATATCTAAAATAAATGGATCTTGGACAACATTTTTGCATTGCTTCCTTACCTAGTCAAGTTTCAAATTCTCCTCCCGTAATGAATGACACTCTTTTCAACAAAAAGTCAAGAAGATCCATAGTATAAACTTTAAAATACATGAATCTTATAGCAAGTTGTCTATCTTTAAGGTAATGCTTTTGGCCAGGTAAAAGCACAATCAATACAATCTTACAACTAACCTTAACGAAGGACCATGACATATACCTGGTATATTTTACCTAAATGACCTTCACGTTAAAACCCAGGAATTCCTAATGAACTTCATGACAGAAACAAATGCATCCCTTAAGTTAGAACTTCAGTGAAGAGATTGATAGAAATGTTTCAGAAAAGAAGCCCGTGATTCCAAAATAGAAGGGATTGAAAGAGAGACAGGTAGGGAGATAGAGAGAGAAGAACAATACTTAGATATTTAACTGAAATATATGTCCAACAATCAAAATAGAGATTTGTAATAAGAAGTTATAGAAACAATATCAAAGCCAGCTTCTCTTCCAATGATGCATTGACAAGGACACGCCAACACGCGATTTTTCAAAAAAGTACTAATAGACACTCGTCGACACGTTGATTAAATCTTCAAAATTCTTCATTCATAGTGTATAAAATTTAGTTTTATACTTGTTACTAATTATTCTCATTGAAATCTTTTAATGTGAGTATCTATTTGCTATTTAATAATAATTTTAAGTTAAAAATATATAATATTGCTAATAAAAAAAAAAAGAAAAATGACCATGGTAGAATGTTATCCAACATGTGTTGGACACGGACATGCCACACTAGTGGAAGTGTCCGTGCAACAGTCCTCTTCTCAAAAGAAACTATTAATAAGTAGGTAATGCAGAAAATAGAGTGTCATTAGAATGAAAATAATGAGGAAAGGAACTTGTTTTCATATATGCGTTAAACCACCATAAAATTTGTTGCTACTCAAACTTCAGTCCACAGTGGAAAGCACCACTTTTTATAGTGGCCTAATCTGTAATGCCACCTTAGTACTAGTGGATCTGTAGTGCCTTGTCAATATGAGATATCTTTCTCCTACCAGTCTCATTCATTATGACCAGAGATAAAAAAAATAAAAATAAATAAGACATAAGAAAATTGCGGCCAAGCATCAGATATGCTCCATTTTCTATCACCCCCCCTCTCTCTCTCTCTCTCTCTCTCTCTCTCTCTCTCTCAAGCTCACAAAACATTAAAAGAAAGTTAGTATGAGAATCCCATAAACTAACATAGAAAAAAATTTAAATGAACAAGGACCAACTTTACATGCAGAAGGTTAAAAAATTCATATCATCTCTTGAGGATTCAAATATCTGATCTCCCTCAAGATTTTGATTTGTTACCTCTGCGCTGCTTCTCAAGATATTAGTCTGACTTCCCTCTTCAGTTTCCCATGTTTCTTCCTGAAGTACAATGGCATGTCAATTAAGCAAATAAAAGCAGAGAAAAAGTATTTAGCACAACAACGAAGGATTCAAATAATCCAAATTACCTGGATAAGTTTCTCTAGATTCTCCATAAGAGTTTTCTCTTCCAGTTCTACATATACTGTCAAGTGAGGTTCAAAGCACGATGAAATGATCCCATGAAAATTGAACTGCCATGTCAATCAACATAAGAAGTTAACAGAAATAAATTAAAGACCCAAATCAAGATGATTGCAGAGTTGTGACAATCGTATTGGTAGTCAGGTGCCACATACAGAAGTAAAATATAATTTCATGAAATGATCAGCAAGTAGTTAACCATTCTTTTAGGCATGTTTACTAGGATTGCAAATACAGATTTCACTCATTTTGGTTTTGATAAGAAATGGTAATTCATGTCACATACTAAAAAATATACCAGAAACAGAGTAAAGAAATTATAAACTGTGCATCTGTTGCTAATACGGACAGGACCTTTAATGGTAATAATGTTACGCATCGTCTAGAATTGAATATGCCATTTATTAGTTACACAAGAACTATCAAGTTAAGAGACCCATACCCCTGCTCCAGGCAATGTTAAACCTCTTTGTTGATCTTGTTCCTAGAAATGAAAGAAAATTGGCATAAGTAACCACTCAAATAATGTACCAAGTTAACTATAATGCACTCGCTAAATCAAGCAATCAACTCATGCCTCATTCCCACTTCCATGATGTGCAGCAAGCTTTTTCTCGTATTTCTTCCGAATGTCTGAAATAATCTGATTAGTATTTTCCCCTTCATGTAGTTCCCCAGTGTCATTTTCTGTTTCTCTATTTTGACTCCCACCACCAAATTTCTCCACCAACTCTTCCTCAAATTCCAATGTTCGCTGTAGTGCCTAACAAAATGCATCAAATTTACAATCACCACTGCTGAACCTGGTATGTGAGAATAAATATCATTGAATAAAAAAATGTGAATTTCCCCATGAAAATATTTGTTGATGAGACGTCACAGAGAAAGAAATGTACAAATACTCTAGTGTATACACTGCAAACACGACTTTTCAGAAACTAGACAACCTTCAATAAGAAAAAATGGAAAGAGAAAAATGAAAATTATTGCTTGCGTATATTATTTCTAGAAATGCAGATTAATTGACTAACAAAGGTAAAATGTTTGTAACTTGTACAAGCGTAAAACAGAAAGGAAATAAGTACCTCTACCATGCTGGGGCCAGAAAGAAACATTTTTATTTGGCAGACAGGAATTTCATAAATTTTTCAATAGATTAAGGAATTTTAAAAATAAAAACACGAATGAGCATGATTTCTTCCCTGGGTGACGAGATTAACAAAACTCAGCCCCTTTATTGACAGAATGAAGACAACGATTAAGCAATAAACAATGCGAACTAATGTCAATACCTAATGAAAATGTAATGGACAAAGCACGCCGGTATTGAAAGCTTTTATGCAAAAAAAATCTCTAACCATTCGAAACTTTATGTACTAGTGTTCTTAGAGCAGAGTTATAAAACTGTGCTCTAGGCCATATTATTGGTCAAATATTAATTGAAGCCACCTAAACCCTTTCAGTTAAAAATAAGTTATGCGATAAAGAGATAGAGGCAGAGAAAGATGACAAAACGACCTTAAGACAGTATACACAAAGGAAGGAAACAGCCACAGAATCTTTCAGAAAATAATTCTGCTTGACCCAATACATTACTTTCAATTGAATCATTGAGGAAAATAAATGAAAAGAAAAAACAAGCCTTTATTGTTTAAATTCGCTTGACTGCCTCTCTGGGCCAAAACTCAGCATAGCCATCTTCCTCTCAAGGGATTCAACTGAATACAACATCTTGAAAAGGACCGACATCAAGAGATGAAGATCAAGAGTATCATAAAAAACATAGGGTTGAATTGGTTTAGGTATTATGATGATATATTGTCTAGTCTGATAATGAAGTATCACTATGCCAAAGTTCAAATTACCAATTATATATAGTCAAGATGGAAAAAAGCCTAATTAGTGATGGAGACCTTTTTTAGACCAACACCAAAAGGATGAAGGTGTGGGAAAAAGAATTTACCAGCAATAATATCCCAACATCTGGCTTTTCTTTAAGATTATTAAGAATCTCCACGAGTTGTGTCCTGGAGAGAGACAGGAAAAGTGACAAATTATCAGTCTGAGGAGAAGCTTACAGTAAATTATATATCATTTCTCACAATTTTTAAAAAGTAGTATTAAATGTTATCGATCTCCTACTGTAGATAAAAAATAGGAAGCAGAAACACATTCTCTGAGCCAGTGTCCATGTATGATAAATATCAGATAAGGAAATGAGCCGGGCAATACACGCTTGCACAATATTTCTGTTATTATTGAATTTTTTTTACGCTCCAGGGATCGAGGACACATCTTGACATGCTAAAAAAATCTGGTGGAATCAAGAAGTAATTTTAAAACCAGGGTATGGTTAAATAGTGTACTGATATAAACATATAAACATTTAGAACAAAAGATCAAAATTGCATTGTCGAATTCCAGCTATTTCCGAAAGTCTTGGCTTGTGTTTTATATATTGGTTAATGATAAATAAAAATTGCATAACATAAAACATATATTTTACACGATGACCATGTTTACATGTCAATAATTGTTTGCTGAAATATGATATATACTATTAACTGATGAACATCTCAACCCAGAGATTGATGTATCATCCATTATTCACAAAATCATCATAAAAGACTATCCCGTTTGTTGCATTTCTGTCACTAACTGCTAAACAACATAGATCTATTGCCAAATCCACACATATATGCTTTTAAAGTCATTGATCATGTATGTTCTTTTGATGCAATCGCCAGAAAATACAGAATGTACATCACTTAAACGACAAAGCCTAAACCCTTGGGCAAGCGCAAGAGTAATCTCTCTGTCTAATCACTGAGTCTGCATTCCAATTTGGTATCAGGGTTAATCCAAATTTAACAGCACAATCACAGTGGACAACCTTACTCCAAAATATAAGATTGACTAGATTACCATATTTCCATCACTCCTGGAGCATATTTAAGAAGCAATGCTAAACTTCGAAATAAGTTTCCAAGAAGTAGCTACACAAGCACAACAATCCTATCTGTAACGACTTTAAATCCAATAGTGAGTAAATAACCAACCTTGTCAGCTTGCAGAATTGGATGCAGAGTAAATAAGGAACATGCCATGAAGTTGGAAAAATTTTCCAAATCTCCTCATTGGTTCTTAACCTGCGCTTGATCCAAGCATATCTTCTTTCTGTTTTATCCAGCTTTGCTAATTCTGAAATGTATATGAATTTTATAAAAGGTTTCAAGATCTACAGCATCAAACTGAATTTTATATACCAACTGAAATGCATATAATAGAAGTGGAACAAACCAGCTCCTTCGAAAATCTGTTGATATGAAGTAAGCTCCCTGTTACAAAAGTTCTTCACCAAATCCTCCCTCACTGATGGCTCCAAAGCATCAACAACTAAGCAAGCATCTGATAACTGCTGCAGTAAATTGTTTTCCTCCGTCTCTTTACCAGAACCTAAGCTGTGAGGTGAAAATAGTAATAAGAACTTTCTTTGGGAGAAAAGAAAAGAAAGGAATTAAAAAAAAGAAAAAGAGAGAGTAGAAACCAAGTTTACGTACAAAGACATATGAATCTTATATAAGATCCCAATTTAATTCAGGCACTAGGATTAGAAGATGGCTGATACAATGTTGAACCACCTCAACTAAAAGTTTAACTTTTAGGCAAACTTATCTATAACTTTTGTCTTCAGCAATTGCTAATTTTTTTTTTCCTCAAATAGATTGAGCAGAAATTTATGGGACAATTGATGTTATCTTATACTAGCTACAACTTCATATCATCTGGTGACATATCTCAAAAATTAAAGATGACAAAAAAAAATTCCGAGACAAAAAACAATTAGGCACTTCAAGAGAATTTTTTGAATGAATTCAGACACAAATAAGGCATGTTCAATATAGCGTGCAAGTAAATAACAAACTTCAGGTCAATAGAATATGACTCCTTATCACTTGTATTCTTCAATAGCATATCAAAAAGAAACAATCGTTAAATTACAGGTATACCTGGAAAAATCAGAGAACACATGAGATTTGAGAATTTGTTTTATGCTCTTAAACTTCTCTCTCAGCTCTGTGATTTTTGGAATATCTCTGTATGCCTCAAAATGACTACATAACTGGTTCACAGCCTGAAATGTATCATGAACCAGGAATTATACCAGAAAATGCACCTTCAACAAGTGAAACAAAAGAGAGAGAGAGAGAGAGAAATACCGCATAATCATATTAAGCAGGGTATTGATTTTTTACTTAAAATATATAGATTCACAAACATCCTGATGGGGAAAGAATGGCTAATTTTTTGCTGGAAGTGTTCATTTAAGTATTAAAAGAAAATAAAAATAAAAACCTGAGTGTTGATAAGTTTAACGCCGGAATTCAATCAAGCTTAAACAATATATTTCCACCAATGGGAGGTTATACATTAGCAATGACATCACTGAAACTCAAATTTAGTTAAAAAATTAGATTAAATCATAAGAAATGTAAAGAAAATACTCTCACAATTCTACATTTCTGATTTACTGGCATGGTGCCGGGTAGCAAGCAACAAACTGCCTTGTAATCTTTTTAGTGTGTGGCAAAATAGGCAGCTACAAGATGCATCAACATCCATGTTTCAAGTACATAAACAGTAGACAAGTGAAATATGCTTTCTTGTGACCTTTTTGGTGAACATGACACAAGTATTGAAGAGAACAGCATTTAGAGGGAATATTGACAGACGTCAACCACAATAAACCTTAAGAGACTTCAACATACATAAACCATATGTAACCAACAGGACTTAGTTTTATAGATCCATTGCATGATGTGACGAACTTAAAATTCTTAAACAAATTATTCTTACCCATAAAGATCTCTCAACGCCTTAGCAAATGCAACAAGTTATAGATTCTATGAACGGGAAGAGTTTTAGACTTCTACATGAATGACAATACCATTATCGTGTCTTTACCAAAACCTACTTATTTTACATAGAAGCTCAAAAGGGAGAAATCTATGGCAATGTGGATTAACACAAAGAGGTATATATAATAGACCAGAGTTATTATATTAATGACCACAATGATCACTACTAGGGGTAGTTTTCTGTTGCTCAAGGGGAAACATCGACAGCGATGTCTTTATTTGCTTCTGTAAGGCAATCCCTGTTTGAGTCCCCCATGATTTCTTTGCTCTGAAAGAGCCAACTGATGCCATTACGAATGTCTTGCAATGCTGTTACACCCCTCAACAGGGGGTATCGATACTCAGTTCTAAGAAAATTTCGTCTTCCTTGGAAAGACCTATGAAGTGCCATTCGAAGGATCCGAGTTCTCTCAACAGGGGATAAATAACAAATACTATGACATCATAAATTAGACATATTGATATATTGAGTAATTTGAATTCTTCCCCTCCAAATTTTCATAATTTTTTTCTCTCTTCTCGTCTTTTTATCGCCTGTTTTCCACCAGTCCCGCTATCGATGACATTGATAGGGCAAAGGAGTGTCGGATGCGTGGACTATCATATTTCGACCATCCCAATATTTCCTACCTGTATAGAAATTATTAGGGCAAACCTCCTTTTTGGTGTAGATAGAAGAGAGACGTGAGATGATGATCAAAAACACATTATAATCCTTGTTATTCATCACAGTGATACTTGTAATTGCAAGTGGATGTAGCTCTCACATTGAGAGTGAAACTCTATAGATCATGTGTTCTTTAATTGCCTTTATTTCCTGTATCGTCACATCCATAACAACAATCAGATCGATGGTGGTGATAGTGGAGTATTGGTGGTCTTTGCCAAGCCCAATAGGTATAGGTAGAGGAGATGTGCAGGTTTGAAAGTGAAGGGAAACCAAGTTTCTCCTAAAAATTACCAAGCAAAAAGGGAAATATAAGAAAAGAATAAATGAACGGTCATCAAATAGCCAATAGAGATAAGTGCAAAGCCAAGGAAGCATTCAGTTAGGGTTTTGAGTGCATCTACATCGCTCATTGGTTCTTTTTCTCTCACTTCTTTTTAAAGGTTAATAGACAACACAAACATGAGCTTAGTTTAGAATCACGGCCTCAATCTGGTTACTGCACAAAAAAAACCCACTGGGGCTGCAATAACTTGTATAAATGCTTTAGATACCCATAGAAATCATTGGGCGATATTATCCTTATATGTTTGTTTCAATTATATTTTTCTGCTAATAAGTCTCTATTCTTCTCACCGTTGATTAATTTAATGTTGATCTTTCAGCTTTATAAACCTGGATGCAAATCAATTGAATCTAATTTCAAATGAAAGCGGACAAGAGAGACACCAAACATAAAAAAATAATAATAATAATAATAAAAGATCTTTCGATGATGGTGAAAATTGAACGTAGCAAAAGTTTTCCAATTTGACGAGGATGTTTAAAAGGGCTTGCAATCCGTGGAGACAACTATTTATTACCTCTAGTTGTGCAGCTGCCTCCTTGTATTGTCTTTTTGAAGCCATGACTTGAAGTTGCTCTACAGCAGAGACTGCCAAGTATGAAAAAGAGGTTACATTGACAAATTCTTGGAAAATATATGCAGTTCTTATAACAAAACCAACCACAAAACTCAGAAAATTGAACATAATTCATTTACAATGTAAGATATGCATAATTTTTTTACTTACTGACAATAAAGACAAAATTGGTTGTATGCTTGTGAATTTTTTCTAATTGCATACTCCTTCCCAAATCACCAAGTGTTGTCTTTTCTCTTTATTATAGGAAACATGGAAGTTAATTGAAAATAAAGGTAAAAAGAGGACAGGATTTCCTCTAAACACTAGAAATGAACACAGAAATCTACACCACATTACACGAGTTCCCTAAAATATAGAGAAAAGGGGACACCCATAAACTCTTTGTTCTAAGGCATCTGAAGAGAAGACCAATGTAGAATCCTCTCCCACAGAAACTCAAAGCTCAAAGCCATCCCCTCAGAAATTTTAGCGTTCTTTCTAGCCATAACCACAGAGTTCCAAACAAAATATAGCTGCTTTGACAAACCAAAACCACCATAATACTGTGACTTCACATGAAACAGGATCTAGGAGTCACCCAATCAATTCCAGCTTCCAGTAACAGCCAGATCCAACATCTTGAGCCAGCTCATATTGTAACAAACTATATCAATTGATTCAACATCATTCAGGCATAAAATACGCAAGGACAAATACTAATCTCTTCTTTTCGATAATGTCAGCGGTACGTGAGCCACTAACTGAGCAAATTTTTTTTTTTTAACTAAAATGGGAATATATGAATTCCAAATGAAACTAGAAAGAGAAGGAAGAATCTGAGAAGAATTAATAATGAATACATAAAAATTACTAGTTTGAGAAAAGCCAGGAAGATTCTAGAACCATAACTCTCTTATTCACCTTATCTAACTGAATTCACAAAACCACCACGTAATGGTTCAAAGGGTAAATTCCTCCAAATCTCTATCGTTAAGATTCGAACAAGAGCTAATCCGTCCAAAGAAAAATGGTGAAAGTAGGAACTCTAGAAATGAAAGTAAGATGGAGTAATTAAGGAAAAGAGTAGGAAAAAACTCATCCCATTTCCATCTGAACAAAATATGATCTTCCACTCATTACCAACCTCCAATCTCGTAAAAGGAAGAAGTTAAGGAATATTTATGGAATATTTTTTAAAGGACTCCTAATTGAAAGTCTACCCTCTTCTTTTGGGTTTCATCTATTGCTCCGACTCATATTTAGTTCTAAGCACTCAATAAGCAGTAAGTCAAAAGTTTATTCCAGAATTATGGAGTTTATGTTCATCCTCCCCCCCATATCACGAGGAAATTAGTATAAACCTTCTGCCTATTTCTAGTAAAAGTCAAAATTAAGACATAGTTCAAATTCCACAATGGCTGCATATAAAGAGTTTGAGCAAGTATAATACGAAGAAAGAGCAAATCATACTTGGGCCTGTAACTAATTAGTATTGAAAAGGTAGTTCCCTAAATGTTGAGAATACAAGTACTAAGCATGACGCGCAAAACAAGTATTGATAATTATATTGGTTTTATAACCATGCAACTGAAAGGGAAAGAGATTTTCCCCGTTCTAAGATGACTCTTCCAAAAAAATTAAACTAGCAAAAATAATATAGAACATATTGCAAAATTTATGGCGAGCCAAAAGTTCAAGACTTCAATTTTGATCGTATCATACTTCTGCTATTTGTTCTTGTCAAGGAAACTGAGCAATTTAATAAATAGGAAATGGCAGCGAGAATATAAAATTTCTGAAAAAGATACCCAAGCCAAATGAATTAACTAAACATTCAAGAGAACATGTCCATCAATAAAAGAGTTATTTTCAAGCAGAATGGATTTCAATGAGCGACCTAAAACCCATCTCAAATAGAATTACATACTTAAACTGTTAAACACAAGAAAATTATCATGTCCAATTTTTTGGATTAAAAGGACTAACCTAGCATGGTAAGACGATGAAGGGCAGTAATTGTAGTTGTTATGTGCTTCTTCGCAAAATCCAGTTTCTTAATGTCACGACATATTTCCTGAACCATAGTTTCACTTTGCTCTGCTTTGGTTTTAATTTCTCGAATTTTATACATGAGTTCCTGGTTCAGAGCATAGAGATGAGTTAATGATGAAACCGTGATGCAGGGTCGAATCTTGCAAAATCAAGATTACAGAAGAGTGAATTGCAGGAAGGGAAAAAAAAAAATTGCTTATGCTTAAGAGTAACCTGATTTCAGCAGTGAATCAAAGTTCTAAAACTCATGTAATTAACAAACCTGCACTGCACTGGTGGCCGCAGCAAGATCCTCCCTTGCTTTGGTTCCTGAATTACTCTGCAAATTACAGCATTTGAGCATTTCACAGTTCATTTGAAATTATGCTCTTAGATTAGACAGAGTTCGTTAATTTGGCCAAGAGTGTGACTGCACCCATCAACATTAAGCAATCATATATTGTTTGCCAAAAAGACTCTGCTCGACCAATCATCCCACATAGTCACAAATTTCAGTTGCACACACTTAGAAACCATGGTGTTAAGGAATCGCCAAAAGGGAAGCATATCGCCCAAGACTTTAATAGACTATTTTATTGAATTGCTGCTATGTTTCCATTTGCTGTTTTTATCTT